GGTGGACCTACCGACTCGTGATACCATGTTAAGATTAGAAAGAATGATTAGAAGAAGGAAGAACAGGGCAGATATAGCATTTGGGTTGTACCCACTAAGAGCATACCCTATCTAGCCTATAACTTTTACATAACAATATATGTATAAGTTGACAGACCTAACCTACTCATGATACCATGTTAGAATACTAGAATGATTAGAAAGAAGAGAGAACAAGGGAGATATAGGGTTTGGGTTGTACTCTCTAAGAACACACCTATTCTAGCCTATAGCTTCTACATGCAAATGTATGTATAAGTTCACATGCATATCCTGGATCCTACTGTAGAGGGTACAACCCCCTTCTTGTATCCCTCTCTCTTTAGTCCATCTCTCTTCGCTCTCGACATTATCTCCTAGCCAGAAACCTCTCGCTACATTCCTATGCCTAGCTCCTAACCTAGCTTCTTCTTGACACACACTAGTGCTGTCCTGGTGTACTCTGCCTTGTTCTGAACTGCCACTATCTAGGCTAGAGGGTGTGTCAACAAATATATTTATATAGATTAGCTACTGTAATCCCCCGTAAAAAACACCCGCCGGAATTAAGCTCCCATGGGTAGCTTGAGCGGGTATGGGTGTTTAATTTAACTGGATTTAGTTACCACCCTACCCTTAGCCTTGAAACCATTTGACCACCCTCCCCCGAGGAGAAAAATCGTTTTTTCTACGTTTTGCTCTATACAACTTCTTGAATTATACGTTAGCAATACAACTAGAGTACACCTAGTCACTACTCGGCTAAAATTCACAGCTGAACTAGCTAGTGGCACCACCTGGAGCTTGAATCATACCTACTGGCTCTGCCTAGAACCTGAATTAACCACTATACTTTAAATTCTTACAATATGCCAGATGCTCATGCCTCTGCCACTGCTCTAGTCGTCCTCCTCACGCTCCTCATCACCAACCTGCCACATCTCGACATCGCTCCCATCTGCAAGCTCGTCCCACCAGCAGTTGTCGTCATCCTCCTCTGCAATGCCTTTTGCTGGCCACACATCAACACTTGCTGCTGCTGCTGATGCAGTCTCTGCATCGTCCGCGCTCGTCTTCATCTGCTACTGCAGCTGCTTCGGTTGCCGCTTCAGCATCGTCGATGTCGTCAGCCGCCAGCGACGCCACATCTGCCTCTTCGTCGTCGGCGACGTCCCTGTCCATATCGATGAAGGCGTCGTAGTGGGCGTTGATGTAGCCGCTCTCGCCCTCCTCGACATGGACATCGTCCATCACCTCGAGGTCGGGCCTGCCACGGAGGTGGCGGAGAGCGGGGTTGTCCTCGGTGCCGTCCAGCGCATTTGATATCCCGCACGTCTTGAATGAACTCCGCACGAGCTCCTCTAGCACAGCCTCCCATGACCGAGCAATCCATTTCAAGATGAGCTCGGCCGGGGGCTTCTTCAGATTTCCTGCACATGGGACGGGAGCATGATGGAAGGAGACGAACACCGGCACGGTGAGATAACGACTAGGAACGGGCCCGGTGGAATTCGTCAACAACAGGCAAGAAGGCTAGACATAATGACTGAGGAAGCGACTAGGAAGGGGCTCACCTGCCGCTGTCTTCAGGTCGATGCCGAACTGCTCAAACAACGCGCTGTAGTCGCCATGCACACCGGCCTTGAAGCGCTTGTTCACTGCGATGTCCAGCGGTTGAATGAGAGGCATGCAACCACCGGGGATGACCGCGCGGGTAAGTTTGCACAGCTTCATCGTCTGCCCGACTGCTTGCGTGAGGTGGCCTTTGTACGAGTCCACGATGACGAGCGCCTCCTTGCGCCTATTCCCCGCTTCGCGCAGCGGGCTCAAGAACGGGTTCAGGACTTGAGTTGTCCAGTCCTAGACAAGCTTCTCGTCCATCCAGCCCTTCGGCTGGGCTCGGATGATGACACCTGGATACAATCACAAGCCACAACAACAGTCAGAGGGTATGCATCGGTGTGCACTATGCACAGAGCGACAAGCAAAGGCGATTCTTACATGGGGGAACCTGAATCTTTGGCAGCGTCTTCCTCTTGAAGTTGACATACGGCGGGAGCTTCAATCCCGATGCGGTGACCGCCAACATGACGGTGAGCCGCTCCTTTTCATAGCCGGCCGTCCTCACATGGACCGTACGGGAGCCTCTGTGCTCCAACGTCCTCTCCTGGGGCATTTCGATGAAGAAGGGGGTTTGGTCGGCGTTCACGATCTGGTCGAGGTTGTACCGGTTGAGAATCCGCATCTGTTTGACAAACTCCCAGAATTTCTTGATCTTCGTCCTCATGTATGCCAAGAACAAAACAGTTGGAGAACAAATTCAGGCGGGAACACGCGAGAAGCAAGACAATCAAAAGAATCAAATATTGAAAGTCGCGGCAAAGGATTGAATGACAAGGATGGGACGACAGTTTACCGTCGGCGAGCTTTTGCCCCATCTTCGTCTTCACCCGACGCGTAAGGCCCCAGCACGCGCGGAATCTATACGTCCAGCGACTCGACGCCCTCCAGTTGACATCGGAATGATGTACGCGCATGTACGAGCGACTCCACTTCTGCAGCAGCTTGACGGAGACAGCAAGCCCCCTCCCGCGGTGCCTCAGGAACTGTCGGGTACTTCGCGGGACGTCCGGTACCGACGAGGCGTTTGCGGCAGCCGGCAGCGACACGGAGGCGTTCGCGAGCCTTCTTCCACTCCAGAATCAACACCGACTGGACACCTGCAAGCTTTGCGAGTCCATAGAGAGGTTGGGTTGAGCATCCTATTAGAAGGCAAACTTAGTTAGGAAGTAAGGCGGCCATGAAATGGCAAGAGGTTTAGGAGCTAGGAGAGGAAGTTGACGAGAGAAAAGAGGGTTGGAATACAAGAGAGAGAGAGGCATACAAGGAGGGAGTTGTACCCTCTACAGTAGAGTTCAGTAACACCTACCAAGCCTACAATTATATAACAAATATAATTTAACACACCCCCTACGCTTGGTAGCGGCAAGCCCACACACACCCACACCCCCTAACCTACCACCCACATACTCAGTAGCAGCGACTGCTACTTCAGCACGGTCAACCCCACGGCACGTGAGCCGGGGCGACGTCGACAACGAGGACAGCAGCTACAACAGCGGCGACGGCAGCAGCGTCGACAGCGGCGGCGTCGGCGGCGTGCGGCGGCGTGGCCAGCGGCACCAGCTTCGGCGGCGGCGGCTTCGACGACAGCTGCCGGCGACGGCGGAGCTCGCAGCACGCGGCGGCGTTGCCGGGCTCCGCGACGGTGGGACGGCCGGCGCAGAGTAGCCTTTGGCTGCGGCAAGGAAGAGGGGACGCAGGGGAAGGGAGGCGTGGCTTCAGCAGCGAAGCCGGGAGCGTGCCGCCCCGTGTGGCGCGCTGGCTGCATGTGGGCGTGCTGGCCAGCGCTAAGAAGAGGCGCTGGCCGCTGCCGTCCGTGCCGTCCGCGCGCTATCGCGTAGACGCCGTGGCAGCACGACGGCGCCGTCACGCCGCCACAGTTTGACGTCGACGCCGACGCCGCCACGGCTTGACGTTGACGCCACGACAGCGCGACGCCACGGCAGCGCGTCACGACGGCCGCGGCAGCACGACGCGGCCGGCGGCACGACGACGCGGCCACAACAGCACGACGCGGCCGCCATGGCAACGAGAGAGAGAGAGAGAGAGAGAGAGAGAGAGAGAGAGAGAGAGAGAGAGAGAGAGAGAGAGAGAGAGAGAGAGAGAGAGAGAGAGAGAGAGGGAGAGAGAGAGAGAGAGAGAGTAGAAGAGCGCGGCGGAAGCGTGAGGAGCAGGCCCACGAGGAACGAACAGCTCTGATTCCATGTTAGATGGCTAACTTAGTTAGGAAGTAAGGCGGCCATGAAATGGCGAGAGGTTTAGGAGCCAGGAGAGGAAATTGACGAGAGAAAAGAGGGTTGGAATAGAAGAGAGAGAGGCATACAAGGAGGGAGTTGTACCCTCTACAGTAGAGTTTAGTAACACCTACCAAGCCTACAATTATATAACAAATATAATTTAACACATCGAACATGGCAAGCCATTACAAATTCTCCGAGACAGTGTATGAGCGGCGCTTCCGCTTTGTCATCCTGCTTCGAGATGCAGGGGCATGGACATCGTGATTCAAGGTAGGACCACGGGGTTGTCGAGTGGGCTCTGGGAAACTCGGCACGCTGACGCGGGGCAGGGGGCGACGCCCTTCCGTCGTAGTGGCGTCGCCGCTTGGAGAATCTGTCGCAGCGGCATCGCCGTCGGCAGAGGACCAATGAAATAAAAACGTCTGCTGGCCATAAGGGCCCTTTCGAGTCAGAAGGCAAGACAAGCCTGAGCCTGAGGCCATGGCGGGGAGACGTTACAGAGACGGAGCAAGAGGATGCCTTAGACAGCCCTAGCAGGGGCTGTCTTGAAGGCATCCTGGAGTCGAAGCTGAAAATGAGAGGACGGAGCGGGCTAGACCCACTTCAAGAGTGGGTTGGAGGGGAAGGCAGGGACGTGGGCGACTCCCTCGTCCCTGTCGCCCATGAAATGCCCCTCACGACCATCCAGAATGTGTGATTCCGTGCGCTGGCCGGTCGTGAGAAGGCATCGACGGAATGTGCCGTTGATTTCGCCACCCCATGCTGTGCTGGCACAGCGTGGGTTGAAGGCATCAAGGTGACTGCCTGCAGCACAAGCTGATTGGCTACTCTGGCAGCATACTGAATCAGCTGCTTACATAGACGATGTGGCATGCAGATGGACCAAATCGTTGAGTACGCGATCAGATAGCAGAATGGGACTCCATCCATACTCAAAACAATGCCCTGTCACAAGTACAGTTGAATTCAAATCAAAAATTGCACTTGCACATTCCATAACTCCTGGGTGCTGTATTTTTTTTGCCTTTAATTACACCCAAACCAAAATTTCGTTGCATTTTTAGTAACACCACATGGTGTTTTATACGGGGGAATACGGTAGGTCATATTTGTTTTTAGCCTAGTTAGTTAAGTTCTTAGTGAGTACAGCACTAGTTTTGTATTCCTCGACATTTTCCCTTAGTCACAACTTTTCCCGCTACTCTAACAAGTGACCCATAATTCCCCTGTCTCTGCGCCTGTGACCCTTCCCCGATGACCAAGGGCAACCGCAGCGTGTCTCTTGACACTGATTTGCGTCCGATTAAAAGACACCGCCTAAAAATTAAACTGGGCAGGATACGACCCCAAGGTCTTTTAGCCAGGTAAATACAGGTATCTACACTTCTACACTACTGCTCTTGCTAACTGTGCTTGCTTCAGCTGCTCCACGGCTTCCTGGTGCTTCGGCTCCCATTTGTAGGGCGTTTTCTTCTTCAGCAGATTCGTGAGTGGTGCTGCGATTTTCGCATACTGTGGCACGAACCTGTTGTAGTAATTAGCGAAGCCTAGGAACTGCTGCAACTCCTTCACGTTCTCGGGTGTCTTCCACGTGCGTACGGCTTCGATTTTCTTGGGGTCAACGTGAACTCCTTGAGCGCTCACCATGTGTCCTAGGAACTGGACCTTCTCAAGGGCGAATTCGCTCTTGGACAGTTTGACTTAGAATCGTTCTCGTCGAAGAATTTCGAAGACACGTCGTAGGTGTTCGACGTGCTGCTTCATGTCGCGCGAGTAGATGAGTATGTCGTCCAGGTACACCACCATGCACTCGTCCAAAAGTGGTCGTAGAATGTGGTTCATTTCGGCTTGGAACGTTGCCGGTGCGTTGGTGAGTCCGAACGGCATTACCAAATACTCGTACGATCCATACCGAGTTCGGAAAGCAGTTTTGTGGATAAAGTTGTCCGCCATGCGTATCTGCCAGTATCCGGATCGCAGATCCAGTTTGGAAAATACCGTAGCTCTCCGAAGCTGGTCAAGCAGGTCATCGATTCGCGGTATCGGATATTTATTCTTGATGGTCTGCTTGTTAAGAGTTCGGTAGTCGATGCACATGTGCAGGCTTCCGTCCGGTTTCGGTGTGAAGAGTACTGCGGCACCGTACGGCGAAGTGGATGGTCGGATGAGTCCTTTGGCTAGGAGATACTCGATTTGTTTTTTCATGTCGGTCAGCTCCATAGGGCTGAGCCGATATGGTGCTCGGAAGGTCGGCTTCGAACCCGGTTCCTCCACGATCTCGTGTTGATGCGTTCGGTATGGCGGTAGCTCATTCGGAAGATCGTCCGGAAGAATATCTTGGAACTCCTTCAATAATTCCTTGATCTTTCCTGGAGGTTCCGGGGTTCTCTCCCTGTCGTTTCCCGCCTCTGTTGCTATTGCCAGAAACCCTGTGTCGGTTCGCTTCACGTCCTTCTCGAATCGTACGAGTGTCTCCACTGGGATATCTCCTGTATCGTCCCAGTTGGGTAGCTGTACTCTCCGTCCATTGTTGTAGATGCTTGCGGTGCGGTTCACCCAGTTGATCTCGGGGTTGAATCCTTTTAGGAAGTCTCGCCCGAAGATCAAGTCAAGCCCTTTGATGTTGGTGATGGGAAGTGTAGGTCTCCAGCGCAGTGGTCCAATTTGTAGGTGTAGCACTGCTTCGCCGTGTACTGGTAAATTGCTGCCGTCCACCATCGTTGCAGAGAATCCTGAAGGCTTGTACTCTTCCCGAAGTCGGTCGATTACTGCCTTGTCGCAGACGGTGTGTGATGCTCCGCTGTCCACGAGTGCTTGGAGGCGTCGTCCTTTGCAGATGACCTCGAGCACGAGGGGCAGTCGTTGCTCGGAGTACCCAAAGATAGTTTCATTGATTGGGTTATAGGGTACATCCCAATACTCCGTACACACCTTTGTGTTGCTATCTACTCCTGAGCTGGCAGCTGGCCGAGGCTGCTTGGAGAACGGCTCTTCTCTAGGCCCCAGAGTTTCCTTGACGACTCTGCGCGTCACTGATGCCAAAGAACTGGATGCATCCGGAGGAGTTCGGGGTTTGTGCAGCTTTTTGTAGGCCCCCAGCTTCCTCTTGAGCTGCTTCAGCTCCACCGACGTCTTCCCTGGGGAACGGATAGTCGTTGTGGGCTGGTGTCGGGAGAGGACGTTGACTCCGTGGAAAGGTCGGCTTCTTTCCACACTCCTTAATTTTTTCCCCAAGTTGTCCGGTACCGGTATAATATCCACAGCTGTCTGCTTTTTTTGGAGTCCTTCCCGAATTTTCTCCAAGGCTCTAGCCCCTCGAACATCATAAGTTTTCATTAACGAATTCTTATAATTTCTTGGGTCTTCAAGGAGTTTCCCCGTCTCAGCAGAGTCCTTTTTCGCGGAGTCGTATTTTTCCTCGGCGATTTTCCCTTGCGAGGACTGTTCGTGGGGTGGAGATTTTCCCCCATCATTTCCTCCTTCTCGCGTCGAATCAGCTTCGTCGAAGTTGATTTTCCCGAAATCGCGCGGCCGTTTTTGGATCTTTTTATTTTCGCCAGCTAGATCCGCAATCACTGGCGACTCCCGTTTTTTGGCTTCTGATTGGCTGAAGGAATTCTGCCACTGTTGCGTACCTGATACTCTGCGCGTGCGGCTTTCATTTTGCTGTAGTCGAAGATTCGATGACCCGGCACCCCGCAAAAATCACACGTGTAATTGGTGTTTTTCGGACGTGGCCGCCCCTCGAATCTGTCGACTTCCATCGGGTCGGCGAACGTGGGGTGAGCCGAGCGGTCGCCCTGTCGCGTACTGCCGACGTGCGTCCGTCGTGTTCCGGCGTTGACCATGTCGAAGCGCTCCGCTGCCGAGACGACGTCACTGTAGCTCGCGTAGTTTGACGCTGCTACCTGGCGTTTGACTTCGGTCTTCAGCCGGCGAGGTACGATTGTACTTTTTCCCCTTCGGTCAGGTCGGGAATGCGGTTACAAAATTCCTCCATCTGCTGCGTGTACTGCGCTACACTCCCGAACTGTCGGTGTCGATGAATTTTTTCCCGGGCAAGGAAACTGGAATTTATCGGCTCGAAGCGTTTCAGCAGGTCGGCGCGGAACTGCTGCCACTGAGGTACTGTTGCCGCCAATCCATTCGAGTGCCGGCCCTCGCATTAGTGTCGCCGCGAGTCGTACACGTTGACCGTCCAAGACTGGCGAGCTCCATCCGACGGCTGCGAAGTAGATCTCCATCCCGGCGATCCATCTGCGGGCGTCGGAGTTTCGATCGCTCGGATCGAACGGCTGTGGTGGGCTCGGTTTCGGAGCCTCGAGAAACTGCTGCGACTGCTGCGTCGTCGCCGTTGTCGAAGGTTGCCATCGTGTTCAAAACACGCACGGAGGGGGTAATTCGAAAATCGCGGAGCTGGTGCTTACCAGAATCGGCGTCGAATTGGTCGCCCCCGGCGGTTTTTCGAGGCAGGTTTTCCCGCTGCTGCTGCTTTGTTGAGCGCGGCCGAGTGAGAAAAAGCTCTGATTACAAAGTGTCACAGGATCGAATGTGTCGAGGAAAGATTGCACTATCGATCAGTACAAGGCGCTTTTATATTTCCAGAGTACATCAGGTAACCAAGTTTATCTTATCCTAAGGGAATAGACCCTTCTAGAAGATAGAATCACCCTGCGTATAGCCACGCGAGGCTATTGGCTTTAAGGGATTACAGCAGGATTACGCTAGATAGAGCGCACCAGTACATCCCAAGCCTGGTCGGTGATATAATTATAATAGCAGGATAAACCAAAGGTTAATGGAAAAGGAAGAATAGGAAACCAAATGAGATGGAATAAAAGAGAAATGAAAAAGGAAGGAAATAAGAAAAGGCCAAGTGGTGTAACGGGGTCATTCTCTCACATGCATGACTCAAATTAGTTCATACGCAAATTGACAATAAAAATCTGTAGTTTATGAAAAGTTGCATGCGAAGCAACGACTCCTAACTGTGAGAGTACGACCCCGTTCCATTCCTTTCTCCTTTCCATATTCCCTTTCCTGTTCATTCCTCTTTTTATCCTGATTCATTTGGTCTTTATCTTATTCCATTTGGATTTCTATTCCTCATTTTCCATAAACCTTTGGTTTATCGTGTTATTATCATTATATCACCGTCCAGGCTCGGGGTGTACTGGCGCGCTATATCTAGCGTAATCCTGCCGTAATCCCTTAAAGCCAATAGCCTCGCGTGGCTATACGCAGGGTGATTCTATTTTCTAGAAGGGTCTATTCCCTTGGGATAGGATAGACCTGGTTACCTGATGTACCTTGGAAGTATAAAAGCGTCTTGTATCAATCGATAGTGCAACCTTTCCTCGACACATTCGATCCTGTAACACTAACAATCAATTCCCACTAACACCCACACCCTGCACTCTCTCCCAAGTGTCTGTCTACCCTACAGGTGGAACTTCCGCCCCCAGCCGTCACATCAACGAAACAACGATAATGGCTGGCGCCAACATGCTCACCGAGACACTGCGCGAGTGCCATACGGATGGCATGGCGGGCATGGAGAAGCTCTTCGCGCAGTGGATGCAAGGCCCAGGCAGATTTCACATGCCGTTGATGCGTGCCGGCCAGCAAGAGTTCCGCACGCTGACGAGCCCCGCTGAAAGAAAACAAGGGCGGCATCAGGGACTGCGCACCGTCCAACAATCGTCATGTGCTGTCGTCGCACCAGAAGCATGCGTGACGCTGCAACTAGCGACGGTGATGCGCCCGCCACTGCCGATTTCGCCATCTCCTTGGACTCTAATGAGGAGGTCAAGGAGTGGCATCTCGGCAACGACGCTTGAGGTAAGACCCATGTAGCTCCTACCCAAGCTGCTTTCGCCTCTCCTGCAGTTCCACCACCCCGTGCACAGAACCCACTCGAGCTTAGCCACGCCATCCCGTGTCCACCACGGGTCCTGCTGAGCTACGAGCGGGTTCCACTTCATGTTGAAGCTCCTCATTCTCAGCTCCGCCATGCCCTGCACCATATTGTGCAGGATCACGCTGCAAGAGGCGCCGGCACGGAGGCGCCACAGCTTGCATTCGTTCCTGCCACCAAAAAGCCTCCATCGTACAAGCCGACTCTGTTAAAATATATTTGTTATATAATTGTAGGCTTGGTAGGTGTTACTGAACTCTACTGTAGAGGGTACAACTCCCTCCTTGTATGCCTCTCTCTTCTATTCCAACTCTCTTTTCTCTCGTAAACTTTCTCTCCTAGCTCCTAAACCTCTCGCCATTTCATGGCCGCCAACCTTCCTAGCTAAGTTAGTCTTCTAACATGGAATCAGAGCTGTTCGTTCCTTGTGGGCCTGCTCCTCACGCTTCCGTCGCGCTCTTCTACTCTCTCTCTCTCTCTCTCTCTCTCTCTCTCTCTCTCTCTCTCTCTCTCTCTCTCTCTCTCTCTCTCTCTCTCTCGCTCTCTCTCTCTCTCTCTCTCTCTCTCTCTCTCTCTCTCTCTCTCTCTCTCTCTCTCTCTCTCTCTCTCTCTCTCTCTCTCTCTCTCTCGCTCTCTCTCTCTCTCGCTTTCTCTCTCGCTGCCATGGCGGCAGCGTCGTGCTGCCGTGGCCGCGTTGTCGTACTGCCGGCCGCGTCGTGCTGCCGCGGCCGTCGCGACGCGCTGCCATGGCGTCGTGTCGTTGTGGCGTCGACGTCAAGCCGTGGCGGCGTCGGCGTCGACGTCAAACTGTGGCGGCCTGACGGCGCCGTCGTGCTGCCGCGGCGTCTATGCGACAGTGCGCTGACGGCACGGACGGCAGCGGCCAGCGCCTCTTCTTAGCGCTGGCCAGCACGCCCGCGTGCAGCCAGCGCGCCACACGGGGCGGCACGCTCCCGGGCTCCGCTGCTGCAGCCCCGCTCCCCTTCCCCTGCGTCCCTTCTTCCTTGCCGCAGCCGAAGGCTACTTCGCGCCGGCCGTCCCAACGTCGCGGAGCCCGGCCACGCCGCCGATTGCTGCGAGCTCCGCCGCCGCCGGCAGCTGTCGTCGAAGCCGCCGCCGCCGCAGCTGGTGCCGCTGGCCACGCCGCCGAACGCCGCCGGCGCCGCCGCTGTCGACGCTGCCGCCGTCGCCGCCGTTGCAGCCGCTGTCCTCGTTGTCGACGTCGCCCCGGCTCACGCGTCGTGGGGTTGACCGTGCTGAAGTAGCAGTCGCTGCTACTGAGTATGGGGGTGCTAGGTTAGGGGGTGTGGGTGTGTGTGGGCTTGCCGCTACCAAGCGTAGGGGGTGTGTTAAATTATATTTGTTATATAATTGTAGGCTTGGTAGGTGTTACTGAACTCTACTGTAGAGGGTACAACTCCCTCCTTGTATGCCTCTCTCTCTTCTATTCCAACTTTCTTTTCTCTGGTAAACTTTCTCTCCTAGCTCCTAAGCCTCTCGCCATTTCATGGCCGCCTAGCTCAGTTAGTCTTCTAATAGACTCACTGTTCGATGCACATCCTAGTAGCGGCTTGGCAGTAGTTATATGTTTGTTGCCAATCCATATATAGAGTCCCTGCTTGTGCATGTAACGGTGTTAAAGCGATCTTAAAACCCCCTGAAAACCAGATCCTAAGTTTTTTTCTCCCAACCTCAGTCTAGATGGTTACCCGTTTTGTGTGGCGACAATCCAAAATCCCCTCCGAACGCCTCTGATTGGCGCAACAGCTTTTACACACCCCTTTTTTGCAACAACCCCACCTCAAAACCTTCACCCACCTCCCCCCTCCATGATCAAGTCCTTAGTCGACCTCTGGTTTCTATGCTAGCTCGCATGGTCAACTAGGCTGACTACAATATTGGCTATTCCGTAGGAAAAGCGCAGTAGAGAACTCATACACGGCGACATCTCCTAGCGTAGGGCAGTGCTTGAGCCTCGCATTCACCCTAGCCGCAGACCCGCGCCCTTTGGCGAAAAAAATCATGGCGGAATCTGCGTTTCAACATTATCCCTCCGCCACACTAGGGAGACAAACAGCGCTAGAGCATCATATAGTATTTGCGTATGAAAAGCACAATAGCCAACAGCCACTTCAGACGCCGCGCATCCTCGTCATCTTTCTCGAATTGCATGATCGACCACTGCTTCTTCATTTTACCCTCCCGATGCGCCTTTGCTCACATTGCTACCTCATGCTACAGACTGTGATCATGCTTCCTCATTATCTGCTTCTGTATATCAATACTGCCCTCCTAATCTCGCCAATACTTTGTAGGCCTTTTCCTCGTAAGCGATGCAAACACCGCACTTCATGCAGGGCCGCCCCTCTGAAGCCTCGGAGATGAACAGCCACGGGAAGTGCCTCTACCACTGCTCCTTACACTTGAGCTGAAGTTCCACGAGTGCCAACGGCCATGGACCCTCATCGATGTCAGGTGTGCTCGGTCCGGGCTGCTAGAGGCCGGCCGGAGAGAGTTGGCGTCGATACTGGTGATCGGGGACGACCGAATGAGAGTTTGCGCTGCTTGTACTTTGCTTTGCCAGGGTAGCGCACAGGAACGACAGGGCCTCTGGTCAGCTAAACTGTCGCAGATATCGCAACAACAGTTCTAGGCGCAGAAGGGGAAGCCGATGGGGCCGGCCACAGATCGGCTTCAATCTCGGGCATGAGGCTGTCGAAAGGAGTGCGAGGCATCTGGGCGCTAGCAAGCAAGGTGGTAGCAGTCTCTGTCGGGGCGATAGAAGGCGAGGTGGTAGCAATCTCTGCCTGGGCGATAGCAGGCGAGGTGGTAGCAGTCTCAGCTTGGGCAATAGCAGGCAAAGTCGTAGCAGTCTCTGCATGGGCGATAGCAGGTGAGGTGGTAGCAGTCTCCGCCTGGGCGATAGCAGGCGAGGTGGTAGCAATGTCTGCCTGGGCAACCGCGGGTGACGTAGTAGCAGTTTTTGCCTGAAGTACCAGTCTCTATTGCCGTCCTAGTCTAGCGTTTTGCTAGGAAGTCCAAGCATATGAGTGGCACGGGCTCAGTAGTGGGCATTGAGGAAGGACTTGGCATTGAGTGAGGAGCACCAACCCCACCACTATTTGATGGCATGTTGCGTGCAAATGGGGGCATTCACAAAGGCGGAGCAGGTAGACTACCGAAAGGTCTAGGATGGGCCCATAGCGAAGACGAGGGCAAGTAAAGGGGATGGTGAACTAGGTGACGAACATGACGCAACGGGATCGAGAATGCTGATGCTTTCAAGTACTTGGTGCACATCGGGAAAGAGTGGAGCTGCACGCCGAGGCTCCGATACGAAATCATCTTGGCACGTCACGGATCGTAGGCCACTTTGCTTGAGCAGCACGAAATGTGTTGTCCGACAGCTGCCCAATTTCGTGGGCGTGCTAGTAGTCTAGTGCACCAACAACACACTAAGGGACAAAAATATCCCTTCCTGCTTCCTGCCTCGCACTGTTATCCATATACAGTCATATGCCTTGTAGACGACCCCCTTTTACGCCCTGGAGTATTCCATATGCATTTTATCCTGAAGGACCACTCCTTGTACGCAAAGTGTACCCGTCTCAACTGAACAGTGGATTAGACAGTCAATTCGGCTGATCCAAGGCCGTCCAATCAGTTTGCTCTTATCTTTTCAGAGCGACCACACCTAGTGGTCGGCGAGCCTCTAAAAATCAAGATGTGTCAGGTTCGCCAACCAATGTCGAGGCAAAAATCCACATGATGCGCTAGATACGACCAGCTCGCCGACCGTCCAGTAGAATTACGCCAGCAACGCCAACGGAATCCGTTGGCGTTGCCCTAGGAAAATCCGTCCACCCACAGCCAATACAAACGCGCCAAGGAAGCAACAGAGGGGTCCAACATCGTTTCCCCCCGCAGCAATGCAGAAACCCCGGGTTATTTGTATGCCCCTAACAGCGACCTCTTCACGATACAAGGAACGAGCCCGCCACACCCACGAGGTCGTCCACATGGCACCTGTACGCCGAACTGCACTCTCCGTCGGGCAGAAGATTGCAATCTGCTAGTACGCCAAGAAGAATCCGACCTTGCAGCTCGAAGACATTGGACGATGGTGCCACACCAGATACGGCCTGTGGCTGGATCGCAGCACAGTCGGCCAAGTTCTCCAAATAGAACAGAAGTGGCGGGCCATCGGGCCTGAACGCGCCAAGTTCAAAAGGGTGCGTAACCCACATTGGCCTTTACTTGAAGCTCGACTTAAGAGCTGGCTGAAAAGCACAAATGGTGCTGGCTTGCCAGTCTCGACGACTCTAATCCAGCAGCGCGCGATACTGTTAGCACCCGAGTGCAACGTGCCTAGCGAGCTCAAAGCTTCTGTTGGATGGGTTTAGAAAGCATGGCGCCGAATGGGATTCAAGTGGCGTAAGATGAGCGGCGAGGTGAAGTCTGCCGACGAGGGCGCGCTCTGACCGCGCAACTACATTTCCCCAGGCAGTGCAACCAGCTGGGCCTGACCCCGAAGAACTTGTTCAACTTCGACGAGACCTGCATCTACTACAGTCTCCTCCCTGGCCACACATTCTGCATTGACCCTACCCCGGGCAAGAAGGTCTGCAAGGACTGGCTTACAGTCGCGGTGCTGGTGAATGCGGACGGCTCGAAGCTTTTAAAGCCGCTCATTATTCACAAGTTCGAGCAGCCCCGTTGCTTTGCAAAGCATAAATTTGACCATGCGAAGTACTGTTACTGGCGCGCGAACACCTCCGGATGGATGACGGCAGAGGTAAATGCCTCGCTTTCCATCGCTTGCATGCAACGTGCCGTAATCTGTCTGATGCAAAATGTGGCGTGCGACAATAAAAATAATCGGCTAACAACACAATCATCCCATACGCCCCGCGCAGGTTTTCAAGGCGTTCTTCGAGCACATTAACGCGTGCTGCATGGCGGAAGGACGACGCATCGTTGTCATGCTCGACAACGCGTCGAGTCACCTGCTCCAATCCCCTCTAGCCACGTCAGCCGACATCTGCGGGTTTGGACGCGCGTGCTCTCGCACGTGCGCCTCGTGTACTTGCCGCCGAACACGACCCCTTTCACTCAGCCTCTGAATCAGGGCCTCATCGCAGCTCTGAAGGCACGTTACAAGGTGGAGTTGCTTCAGGCAATTCTCGCCGTCCCTGGCGTCACCGTCGCCGCCATTCTGAAGTGGAAGCCTGAGATGTGGTAGGTGGTAACCTGGGTGTCGGATTCGTGTCTTGGCTTGGATACCGCAACCATCCATAAGTGCTTCTGGAGGAGGCGAATGCTGCCGCCAGCTGGCAGCCGCTGCTACCTCTCCTCGGCACCACTTTTGAAGAGCAGGAGCCCCGGCTAGAGCATGAGATCGAGCCGGTGCAGCAGATCATGAGCGCCCTGCCATTCGGCCCGGGCGATATGATTTCTGCCGCTCGCTTCGTCACCGCCGAGCGCGACGCGAGACGAGCGAGCCGAGCGGGGTGGATCCGCTTGAGGTGGGGCCGCTTGGCCCGGCCCAGCGGGATGCGTGGTGGGCGAACGCGCGTCCCCCCCCAGCTCCGAATGACTCAGCGCAGAACCGGTGCAATCTCTCGCGCATGGCGACAGAGATGCTAATTGGCTACGCCGAGTCCATTGGCTTGGCGCCTTGCAATCTCCGAGTGCTGTTCGACATCCGCAAACCTGCGGTTATTGATCGCCTGGAGCGCGCATCCCCCCGCCTGACCACTAA